TCGGGATATCATACTACACGGATAGAAAAAATGGAGAACAACGTATTTTCTATAGGACCAGACATCAAACCGCTAAAAGCACATACTTGGCAAGTGCAGTGTCCACCTAAGATACGCCATTTTTTGTGGCAAATTTTAACGGGTTGTGTACCGGTTACGGAAAATTTACGGAAACGAGGAATTGACTGTGATACAGGTTGTGCCAGATGTGGTGCACCAGAGGAAACGATTAATCACACAATCTTCCAGTGCCACCCGGCACGGCAGATTTGGGCGCTTTCACAGATTCCCACGGGTATGGGATTTTTTCCCACAGAATCTATTTTTGCGAACTTGGATCATTTATTTTGGAGAATACCTTCGGAATTTGATTCCTCAGTTTTTCCATGGATTATCTGGTATATTTGGAAAGCAAGGAATGAGAAAATATTTGAAAATATAGACAATGATCCACTAGAGGTATTACGGTTAGCGGAAAAAGAGGCACAATTGTGGCATGCAGCTCAACTCGAGCTTATTAACGAAAATCAGGGTTCTGTGGATTTGGTAACTCGATCTCAAGTGAGGGATGCTTCACTTGATTCGACTTATTCGGGGTACCGTTGTTTTGTAGATGGATCATGTAAAGGAAGTGATAAGTTCTCCGGTACAGGATGGTTCTTGTACATCATCAAGTGGAGAACCGCCAACCATGGGAGCTGCCAACCTCCGTAGAAGTCTATCTCCCCTACATACAGAAGTCGAGGCCCTTCTCTGGGCGATGAAGTGCATGATTGGTGCAGATAATCAAGAGGTAGCGTTCTTTACAGATTGTTCTGACCTGGTGAAGATGGTGTCTTCTCCAACCGAATGGCCGGCGTTTTCAGTGTATTTGGAGGAATTTCAGAGTGACAAGGAAGAATTCTCTACCTTTTCTTTATCTTTAATTTCTCGTAGCGCTAATGTAAAAGCGGATAATCTGGCACGAAAAGTTCGTACAGAACCGCAACATATCACATATGTCAACAACATTCCTCAGGAATGGCTCTTTTGAATTTTAATTAATTTCGGATGACAAAAAAAAAAAAAAAAAAAAAATATTAGAACATGGTTTTTTTTTTTTGATGAAATGTTATATTTATTGATCTTTAAAACAAACATAAGAACATGTTTTTACTGTCATACGAATCAATTTATAAATATAGTGGTCGATAAAATAAACAACTGTTTTTAATCTACTAAAACGATAATTCTCGCTAATATGAGAAAATATCTTAGCAATATTTATCACGCTAAGATTCCCATATATCTTTATGTCTGAATAGTTTGTTCGTACACTATTGAGATTGAATCCTGGAGAATTTCAATTTTGCAGCCTCACTCCAAAAATATATTGTTATTTTGACTCTTAATCATCAGCCAAAAAAGTGCGAAAGTCTCTCTGGCGTGACTATCGAGGAACCACTTTCGCCCATGTTTTCCGACGCCGGGAGAGCCGTTGCTCACCGGCGTCGGACCGTCGTTCCTCATACCGTTCATCTTGGCTTTCTTGTGTTACCTTTGCTCTCGTTTCAGTTTTTTGTTTTTGTTCCCGGCCATTTCATGAGGCTTTTGAGGACCGCTCTTGATGCCAACATCTTTGCGCTCGGGTGGCTCCTTCGTGCGAGATCTGAAAGCAACGTTTCATGTGCCTCTCTACCTTTGATTGGTACGGAGTGTCTCTTATCTCTCGCCCAGATCTTGCGGTGTAGAAGTTTCACCGCCGGCGTCTCTCTGCTCTTCTCGAAGGCAGATCTGTCCTCAAGGATTCAACAATGGTCCTCTGTTTGCCTTGCCCGCCTTGGTGTCTCCGCCGCGTTTCCCTGCTACAGCAATCTAAATCTAACCCAAGCCTTCGCCGTTGGTCCAGTCTCCGCCGCTTCTTCACTTCCCAAGGCTCATCCAAGTTCGATGTCGTCATCCGCTCCAACTACAACCCTCGTTTCAGCTAGCCGCCGCCAAGCTCCCGTGGATGCCCTAGGTCTTTTCTCGGGACGTGTGCTGAGATTGTATCCTTGTTGGGCTTGGTCCATGCTTACTTCAGTATGGGCCTTTTTTAGGCTTAGTTCCTCCATGGGCTCAAGTTTTTGGCCCTATTATTTTGGATATTTTTCTTGGTCTGGATATACTTCTATCCTTCGTTCATATGGGATTGGATATACTTCTATCCTCCGCTCCTATTTGAAGCATCAAGACGCTCTGCCTCCACAGAGCCAATCTTCCTCCTGCCATGGTCAGGAGAGGTCTCTTGCTCCTTTCTCCTATTATAAGGAGAGTTTCATCACACCTTCATCCTTGCTTCCATGGCTCCTTTATTGTTGCCCTTGTGTTGCGCGACCAGCATTTGTTCTGGAAAGATGCTCTTCAGAGACCTCGCTCTCTGTTGGTTTCAACGGCTCTGCAAATTGATGCTTTGTCACCCCTGTTTTGCTTGCCAACTTTGGGATTGTCTTGCTTGCCCTAGTGGCAGA